GCCTGCACATCGAGCACCTTTACATGGCTGGTTCACTAGTACATTGTAAAAAATTCGTAATGTTCTTTTTTTCTGGACTTAAAAAGGAGACGGTCACATCTTTGCAAGAAAAAGTAACTTACCGCTATGGCAATACATTCGTACTTGCTTTTTCCATTATGCCCATCAACAAATGGTGTTGGATCAAACTGTCTCAGCGGGAATGTGATAACCCGCTTGCATTTTCCCATACGACCTTCCCCGCGGAGGAATTCAAAGCGTTTCAGGTGGATGATCTGAACAACACTTCACTAGTCAAAAAAGATTGCGCACCCCTATAATGAAGAAGAAAGGAACTCACCAGATATCGCGGCAGCCTCCAAATTGTCATCACTTTGTCTCTTTTTGTCTTTTCATTGCACGTATCACAATGTATGAGCACATCAAGAGTTTCAGGGCAGCTAAATTTCTCAAGGCAATGTTCCAAGGATGAGGGAGCGAAATGTCTCGACCATGTTTCAGCAACTGACTCATCGTCTTCGCAAGCCTATACAGGAGACATGTAAAACTACCCGAACAGCAACATGGTAGACCCACCAGCTCCTGTGAATGATTGTACTTTAGGTACAATGCGATAGGTAACCAATCAACTGCTATGCCGCAATTTTCAGGGATATTAGCCTAAAAAATGAAGAATGTAAACATTCTCTATGATGTCAGTGGTCTCACCGGTGAAGAATCAGGCCTGATGGCACATCCACGGCAAAACCTCAGCGCCGGACATTGACCACACCATTCCCAGCTTTCATCAACCAAACAGAGTGAGAACGGGTAACCAAAGGAGATGTTTTCAGATCTACAAAGCTATCAAAGATATTTGGGAGAATTTGTAAAAAAAAGGATAAATAAGCAAAATGGGAACCACTTACGGATCATGAGCACGACTTGAGATTGCTGGAGATGTTGAGTCCATGAACCGTCGCATCTATAAATAAATCTCAAAGCGATAAAACAACTATCATTTGATATGGTTATCGTGATATTCTTTCAAATCAACAATGCAGAAAATTCTGTAGAGACAAGATCAGCAAAGTCCAACTCGGCTGAACATCACCAAAAGAGGAAAATCCGACACGCCTTACGTTCACTGTTGAAGGGAAGAAAAGAAAGTCAGCATGGATATACTGTGATAATCACATAATTTAGGCGTGCTCGCAAACGTCATGAAAAAATGAGCTTCAGACTTGATTCAGGTACCTAAGTCAGCTTCAAATTATCTGATGGGAGAGGCAAGATGGATATGTAACCACTGATAAAAAAACATGCCAAGTTATGAGGCTACCAGAATGAACAATCACGATTCAAAAGGGTAACGATTTTTACATACCTGACTCATTACATCTTCATATAACTCTTTTCCAGAGATATTCGAGGGGCAGGGTAAAATAAGTGGCAGACCGAATTGCGATACAACAAATCCACCCGTAGAACCGAGAAAATATGGCTCATAGTTGTACTGCTGAAAGATCAGACTCGCTTACTAAGGTAAATCTTCTTGTGACTTACCAATTTCCTATGAATGGCTACCCTCCATTCTGGAGTGTCTTCAGGTAGATGAAGGGCATAAAGTCGAGCGCCAGAGGGTACAGAACTTAGCAAAGTGTCGTCGTCAGTGCTCGAGGATTTCTAGGTCGATGGAGTCAATTTGAAAATTCACTTATATTATGGTTACTCACCATAAAATACCCTCTCTTGCTAAGGCATTGGATCGTAAGAGCATCTTTGTGCACGCCGCTAGCTTCAGCGATAAGACCTTTGAACGTTCCTATGGTGCACTCTCTAGGCAAACGGAAGCCATACCGTCGTGGTACGCTGCCGTCACGTCGAACGACTAGAATCAAAATGAACTGGCTACAGTATGTAGTAAAAACTACACTTACCTATGATCTGGTAAAGTTCCACATTCTCAAAACCAATCGGAAGACTAAGGGAGGTAAACGCTTCGAACACAGAAGATGAAGACTTGCATTTACGGCAGATAAGTCGGGAGCGTAGTTGGCCTAAATGGAGAAGCTTAGTCAACGGATATTCCTTTAAAGAACTTCAGCGGGCTCAACTAACGCTTTTATACAAGGAACCAGATATTGCAACGCAAATGTGTCAATTCTAAGATTAATCACTATCATCTGCCACAAAAAAATAAGAGCTTTACTACTCCGCTGATAACAACAATGCACAAGTGAATGAGAACTTCAAAAAGAGGAGTGTGCAGTATAAATGAAAGAAGAAAAAGCAGTAAACAAAGTAGGCCACTTGCAAATAACAAACCTGAGAAAAGAGAAGTCACCAAAGAGTTGTTGTCCCGAATGTACTGATGCCATGCCTAAATATATTATAGCTCAAAAAGGAAGCGAGTGGTCTTAAAAATGCTCAACTGACCTTTTCCCCCTTTTCCTCATCTGACATATTCTCGTCGCTTGTCTCCTCATCACCAGCTGTGGTAGACGTAGCTCTGCTCGATCCAGCATCAGTATCCGTTTCTTCGCTCTCATGATTTGCTAATTTTTCGTGTTCTATCTTAGCCACACATGTGTGGAATCGTTCGATCAAGAAAGATACAAATTCTTGGCAGTCATGTTGTTCACCATCGTCAAACTGATCCGCAGATCGTACCGCATCCTGAGGTCGAAAATTTCAAATATCGCATCAGCAAAAGCAAAAAGAAGAGAAAAAGAAAAAGTGTCACCAACATTGAAACTATTCGGTGAAATGTTCTTCTTCTTCGCAGCCCACATCTCTTTCAACAATTTTGAGTATTCTAGAGTTGTTGTGAACGAATCGTTATTGTTGGCATCACCCCTAAAACAAACTACGTAAAATTTGCTGTAGCCGCACATAGATGGTCCAGGGCATTTCTGACTGAGTAGCAATGTAAAAATGGTAAGAGATTGAGAGAAATCCAAAGCCACAAACTGCTACAAAGCATTAGCAGATGGCAACTCAGTACGGAACTTCTCGAAACACAAAAGTTACGACCCACCTTTTTAGCAGATTCATTCTATTTTCGTCAAGCAGATATTCGGTCAATGGAGATACTCTAGCAAGACATTGTATAGCAGCATTCCTATAGCAAAAATTGCCTGAGTTCACTAGACCAACGGCTCCTGGTCGTCCTAAACAAACTTAGTTATGAGCGTTCAAGGTAAGAACGTAGGACCAAATAGTCGTTCACCAAATCAAACCTAATTAGAGATATATCACTTGGTAAGAAACACAGGATTTACCTGAAGTACTGGCTAGGGAAGAAATCTGTGTCCCAGTCAACGAAGCTCGCAGCTCTTCAGGCCAAACTCCATTCGCATCCCTCAGCTCTAGCAGAAACTAAAAGCGACACTAGACACTGAAGAACTGTGTGGCCATGCTAGTTGCTAGTGCTAGTTTTCAGAAGTTTCACAGAACTTGAGATCAAGCAAAGAAAAAAGACTAAAACGTATCAAAAATAAATGTGCACACTGAAGAATGGATAGTGAACGACTAGCAAAGGTCTTACCTTGCTCACTCGCTTCCCCTTCGCAGCCAGTTGATGCAAAGTTCTCTTGCCGTCATCTAGCAAGGTATTTCCTTCCTCGCCAACAAGCCAGAGCCTGAAGTAAAAACTAAAATTAACTTGTGATATAGCGCAACCACTAACCTAGCGTCCCCATCACCCAGTCTGAGTTCTGTTTTGCACAATTGCAGAAGTTCGTCTACTGTACAACTCCGTGACACCTGCAGATCGGAAAATTCCTACACATCAGGTAAATAAATCCGCCTTTCGTACCTGAGCGCAGGCCCAAGGGGAAGTTTGTTGAATGCCATCGACATCCTTGAGCTTTTTCTTGTCATGGCCAAGTAAAAGTATATCCATAGGGTACAACTCAAGGGCTTCTTTCCCATCCGGGAAAAACTCGCCACTAAGTCGCTTGCGCGTGAACTGGCCATCAACCTTCAAAAACAACATCAAACACCGAAAAATTAGCGCACCCAAAAACTTACCGATTGCGCGCTTCCATGCCACCTTAACCATGCTCTCCAAAGGGCAGGAGGAACAGCGATATAGTCTTTAGGAGTCAAATCCGCCTTCAGGTTTGCTGACTCCAGTGACAAACACGCTACCTGAACCAAAGCATTATAACTTTACCAACATCTGAGCAACTCATGCAAAGTGCACAGAACGTCAAGAGGCACCTTCCCAACCTTTCCGCTCCATCCGTCGTCAGCCTTAG